GTTTTGTAGCAGGTCTCCAGCTGAATAATTCACCTCAAAAACAGCACTCACATTGGCTTTCAAAAGCTCAATTTTTAAATGTTTAATGACTGAGAAGTATTTATTTCTGCTTTACTCATTCGAGATCTGAGCGGCAGCCTGGTCTGGATGAAACACTAGCATTTGACCATGGGTAGGAGTCTGGTTTCTAACACATGAATAGCTTGCCTACATTGCCAGTTCAGCTGCTGTCTCTTGTTTCTACATGTCTGAAGAACTGCTTTCCAGGGGAAGTGTCTGAAAGAAAAAACACACACAGTAAACCCTAGAAACACCACATCCACGCAGAGGAGCACTGTGCAGAAAATTTAGGTGTTGGAAACGTGATACAATCATATCAGTACTGCATGGCACTTGGGCTAATAAACCACATCTCTGAACAGGTCTCTGTAGGATAGGAGCAGCACAGCTACGAGCTTTCTCTTCCTTTTCTAGTCTTGGAGGTGGATCTGTCTCAAGGACCTCAAGGCAGTATTTTTTTCAAAGTGGAACTGCCCCAAGTGTCACATCATTGGAGGTAGTGCTGTTTCTCCAGAGATTTGGACTAAGTGGGAAAGTACATGCAGATATAAGCCCTTCTGTCATGGTGTTCTTATCTCTTAACTGCTCCTGCTTCTAAGGTTTTATGCTAGGAAAGAAATGAGCAGAATGACTTTCAGAAATGTTAAGAAATTATTTCCATTTACTTCAATTGGAATAGTCCTAAAAATAAACTGGCGTTGACTAGTGCATTCAGGATGCTAGCAGTCCTTACATGTTTCTTACAGTGTTTCTTACAGAAACAAAATCTGATTAATTATGCTAGGATAGTACAGACCAGGATGCAGAAAAGTAGCATGTGTACATATGTCAAATTGCTAATGACACCCCTGCCTACACTACATATAGAAACAATTCCAAGATGTGTCAAAAAAGGAGGTATATAATAACTGACAGTGAAAAAAGCAATATGAACTTTACACGATTAACATTAGAACTTGCATCTAAAAATCAAAATGAGATTACTGTGAGATTAGTTAATGAGTTGAGATTCATGAATTTGAACAAGTATCTGGCTTGACTGGCTCCTCATAGTGTCCAATCAGACTGGAGACAAAAGAAGGGAAATAGTGTACATTTCAGTATGACAATGCAAGCAGATAAGATATTGGTTTGAAACCAGTATCTTAAAGATATTGGTTAAAGAAACTTACTCAGCTTGAAGAAACAAACAAAAAATGGGAAAGATGATGGACCCAATGCATAACGGATCATTATGCATTAATGCATATACAACATTTTAATGTTGTCGCAATACAGTAGAGTTATTGCAAGATTTCAAGATGAGTCACAATGCCTTGAAGCATACTGTTTTCATGTTCTAGTTCTCTGGATCTTGGAGAATTGAGTTTTCTTATCTGATTTCAACTCAGAAATTATAACTCGGAAATGATTTTTGGAAATTACTTGGTTAGTTTTTCTAGCTAAGGAGAAATTAATCCATGAGATCGATCTGTTTCTATGAACTGATCTTTATTTAAAGCTTTATTAAATATATATATTCTGCAGAGTTCTACTGTAATTTAGGCCATTTCAGCATGGGAAATATACTACTCCCATCAGCCCAGTGATTCAACTTTCCTGCTATGCCTTGAAGGACTAAAAAATCCTCAAGTCAAAGAAAACACAAACTAAGCAGAAATGCCAGGCAATAGAAGAAAAGTGATTGAAGTGTCTTATATATGCATATTCCAATCTCTGTGGGGAAGCATTTGCTGTCCTTTGGAGGCAGTTTGATCACCTCCATATGGACTGTTGAAAATGTCACAGCCTGCAATTTAGCTCACTGAGAAATGCAAGATGTTTTCTTCCTTCTCTCCTGTAGATCTTTCTATCACCTGCCATCTTCCTCAGCCACTTCTAGAAACTGCAAAATTAGGAATGACAAAACATGCAAAAATGAATCATAGGTAGAAGTGACAGCTCAGAAATATCAAAATGTGCTGTAGGTGGGACTTGATTTAAAATGGAACATGAAAAAGAGCAGGAATTCTTTCAAAAAGATAAGTGATATGCAGAAAGTAGAAATCTGAAGGCTCTGAAAATCCTCATGAGGAAAGAAATGGCAAAAAAATTAACGTAGCCAAATATACACACCAGAGACCTCTAAATATACTAACACACGTTAGGATCCACTGATCCAGCTTGTGCCCAAGCATTGGCTTCTGTATAAGTCAGACTTGTCCAGGTCTCTGTTTTTTCTACCTTTTTAAATCCAGGAACAATTGCATCGATTCACATTTGTTCCCACTTTACTGGTTTATGTGCATTTGATGATTTAGCACTCATTAAATGACAGAATGATGTTTTGTTTGTATTGCTGCAATAGCTAAAGATGAGTCAGCTGCTTTAAATATAATTTTACAGGGTTAACTTCTCATTTTGTATGACTAAGATTTTTTTTTTCCTTTAACCATGCCCGCAATCACTTACAGTGAAATTTGTGAGACAAAGTGATCTGATAAACTGTTGAAATTGAATATACTATGACTAGTTAATCTGTTATAGTTCCAAGGCCCTACTGCATGTCCAAATGCCTCTTTAAATGTTAACACAGAAGTAGAACAAGTATGCATGTATGTACACAGCTCATCTGGCATTCAGAGTATTATTCTGGGGCAAGCAGTACAGAAATTGCATTTATTTCTCTATTTGCAGGACACTCTCTCAGACCTCATTTTGCTGAAATGACAACTTTGAATTCTTTCCTATAATAGACAAAGACTTCATTTTTATCTTACTGCTGTTCAGACTTTAGCCTTTTGCATAGAGGTGACCTGGATCTAGACCAAAAGCAAACTTGTTGTTTTGTTTGCTTCATAAGAAAAGTGCTTTAGAAGAGAGACAGTTCTTGCCTGAAAAAGGTCCAGAGATTGCTGAAGGATGCTACTAACAGGTAATGAGGTAACACAAAGTAACACTGTGGTTTCTGGAGTAGTTAGCAGCATTGAACATCTACATGTCTGGGGAGAATGTACAATGAAAAACACAAAATTACCTGGGGACGAAGATGTTACTAGGGTATACCACACACACCCTTTCATGATCCCAGAACAATGTTAAGCCATGGAACACAGTAATTCCCACCTCTAATTCTTTTATACCAGACCATGCATCCAAAATATGTGACATCTAAAATCACTGGGGATTCTGGAACTTGTCACCCCAGTTCCATTCAGCCAAAATATCAGGAAAATGTGGTGAATGAGATTTTAAAGTTGAGATAACTGATAAAATCTTGGTCTTGATTTCAGAGATCTTCAGCTCAAAGCTACAAAGCATTAGTTCTTCAATTCTGGAGAGGTCAGAGCCAGGAAAGAAGAATTAGGTGAATATTGAATATTCTCAAGGATTATCCCTTTTTCTATGACTTCAAAAGTCAATATATATATATTTTTTTAATCTTACAGAGTGATCACTTTTCTAGAGAAGATAAATTCTTGGGAAGGTCTAAAGCTACAGCACATCTGTACTCTCATACATGCTCATGTTTCCTGAGAAACATCAGGTCAGGCTTAAAGAAATACTATAAGGGGATGCCAAAACTTCCAGTGAAAATGTGGATATTTTCCAGCTGTTTTGGAGCTACCTCATGGAGCTGGACCCAAAACCCAATGTAATTTTACACTCTTGGACTAGTCTGAACATGCATTCCCTTTGACTGCAGACCAGTTTATTAGTGCTGGCGCCAGCATTCTTTGTATATAAGGGAGGAATGGAGAGATATTTGTGGAGAGCTTTTAAAGCACAGTGGGTTATCTGCAATAATTACCATAAAAACTGCCATGTGCCATTTTGTTTTATTATTATTTTTTTTAATTATACTTTTATTTTCTTTTGTCTTGCAAGAGAGGAGGAATGGATTCAGAAAAAAAAAAAAAAAAGTGAAATATATGCCTCTTATTGCATTTCTTCTTCATATACGTTGCATAGGCTTTTATCTGTTGAGGTATTAAAAAGGAAGGTTGTGAAAACCATTTTGAAGAAATCAAACAGCACTCAAAATACTCATAAGCACAAACAGTTATGCTGCATACACACAACCTCGTATATGACCTGACTTCTGACTTACAGTCTAATGCTCTTCTGTGATCAGCACAAAGAATCTCTAAAAGTAAACTGTTCAGCATCAGCACAAGAAATGGATGCTTTGGCCATGCTGTCCACCAAAACCCATGTCTCACAAGACAGTACAACTATGGCTCAGTCAGGATGGGTCCCTTCAGGTTTAAATGCTATCCCAGCCTTCCACTTTAGCCAAAAGCAGCTGATGGGGTGGCAGGCTGCCAGCCTTGGCTTTAGTTTCAGCTATTCATTTAGAAATGGCAAAGAGAGATATGATTACATTGAAACTCCATCATAGTTCCCTCAGTTGTAGAGATGAGGATCAGTATCTATATAGAAAGAAAAAAAAAAAAAGGAAAAAAAAAAAAGCTACACTATCATAGCTGCCTCAGAGGTGATAACAGACAGAAAGTGGGAAAGGGGAAAAGGTTGATTAGGGAGACAACACCTCAGATAAAACCATGGAGATAAGCTAAGAGATTGTCAGTTACAGATATTTGGACAGGATGTCAGAAGATCTACGCAAGGCCTTAGGAGTGCACATGTGGAGAAATGTTGTGTGGCCTACTCCTGTTGTATGTACCCTCACAAGTCCCTTCACTGCCATGAAGCATGTGCATTTAGCCTGCTCAGCCTTTAAATAGAAAGTGTTGCTTGGTCTGGACCCTACCCAGTCTTGCTGTCTCTTGCCGAAAAAACAGCTTTTGGGGTGTAATTTCTGAGGCCTGTCAAAGGGGCCCAACAGTAGTTTAGCAAAGGGCCCAGGTACCTGTCTAAAGTATGGAGCCTCAGGACTGCTGTGTCAAAAGATGAGTTGAATGGGGCCTTGAACTGGCATGCATAGAAATAGTGATGTCTGAGTGAAAAGCAGGCTTCCTGAAGCTGTGAAAGGGAACAGGGCCCACTCAGGCACTTCACCACCAACACCTGTGAAGGTACTGGTTATTACAACAGCCCACCACAGCTTGTTAAAAAGCTGTAACTACTTGCCTGACTGCTCCACCGGGGAGGAAAAAAGGGAGGAGAAGAGGAGGGGATTATGCTTCTCCTGAGTGCTTCTCCTGGGCTCTGCCTGAGGAAAACTGTTGGATGGAGATGGCCAAGGAAAGCTGTCTTTTGAAGGAGAGGGAGGAATGCTGTAAAAGCAAAGAGCATATATGCCATGTGATGAAAAAAACACTTCTCTGAGTTTCAAGGCACTGGTCCAGAGAGGGCTGATAAACCTGTGGCAACCTGGGAAGCTGCTGACAGTTGCTGGACTGGAAGAAAAGGTCTGCTCTGCAGGAATGCAGTAAGTGACAGGGAACAGGAGACATTTGTTTTCGGTGTATTTTCTTTTGATATACCTCATCCAGTAGACCTGTCTGAATGTTCTCTGTTTGAAAAGTAACTTTGTTCCGTTAGAACATGGAGTTGAAAATGAACCCATTTTGGTGCTTAAGGTAACTTTATTCTGAGGAAAGTACTGACAAATCCATCCCAAAATCCCAGCCAGCTTGGGTCCTCTCACAAAGCAACAAATATGTGCAACTTCAAGGCACAGTTCATGTGTGTTGGGTACCATTGTTTGACTGCTAAAGGAACTGAGGCTCAGGGTAAGACAGAAGGTAGGTAACAGGTTTGATCTAAAGCATCTGAAATCAAAGCAAGAAAGACCAAAGTAGTGTACTGACCTGGGATTTGGAAGAGTCAAATCAAATTATTGATTTTCATCTTACTTCTGTGATCTCACGGGTCCGTCTGTAAAACAGAAATGAATGTATTTCCCTCCCTGGTGGTAAAATTATGAGATTCTGAACTGCTATCTTAAAGTGTTCCAGAGTACCCATGACACTGTCCTCTTTGGTGTTCAGGCCCACCAAGGACTGGAACTGAGGGAGTAAGTGACGTAAGGGTCATTTAGAGAGTTGCTGCATGAGACTCCTGTGAGGCATTGTTTGAATTTTACTCTGTATGATTTGATCAGTGAGTTTAGGTTACTGAATACAGTGCTTACTGAGTACTCAGTAGCAAAGCAGCTAAGGGATGGTAGCAGCAGAGGGACAGAATATGAGAAAGTTGGGAGAGGATGGGAGTAAATGACCAAGAAGCTAAATGACAACCCAGAAGCTATCCTTTCCTACACACTTCTGCTCAGTTTACCTATTTTCAGGGTTATAAGAACTATTAATGCTTTTACTTCTCTTTGTCAGTCCTCACAGAGATGAGAGGAGTCACTTGGGTAGATTCTCTTGCACCTTCTATGAGGATTATTACCTCCTGATGCTCTTGCACTGTCAGTGTGTAGCTCCTGGTCTGCCCTTGTCTCTGTGCTGTTTCTAGTTTTGCTATTTGGCATGGCCTGCTCACTCAACAAATCATCCTAACCCAGTTTCTAGGTATTTAAGAGGGTTGCAGTGATGCCTGTCTGCCTTCCACTGAAAGAGCTGTCCTGACAAACCTTCACCACATTGTTGATAATGTCAACCTTTCCAGGTCCTGTGCAAAGAACCTCTCTATAGGGCCTATGTGCAATCTATGCAGCTCTCTCTTTAAACATTACTTAGGCTCCAGTCCATCTAGGAGAGATTTCAAATTTAAGCATGACTATAAAGAAAACCAAGCAGTTGGGTAGGAGCTAGCTTCCTATCTTTTTCCCTCTTCCCCTTGTCCTTTTCCTCTCCGATTATTCACCAGACTGCAACCCAAAACTTGAGAAAAAAAGACATCCTGTATGTTTGGATTGTTATGTTATAAGCTCTGTTATGTTTAATTGTGTTGTTGTTTTTTGGTCACCTCATTTTCACTTTTAACAATATGTGTGAAATGGTTCAAACAATGATACAGAGATAGGGATAATACAGACTTTGTGTGTAGAGACTGTAAAGAGACTAGCATCAGTGGCTTTATAATGCACAGTCAGATGCATATTATATATATTGGAATATTCCTCTGAATTAAATCCATAAGATCTTTCCTCCCTTTCTCTAAAATACTACATCACATTTTCTGAGAACTGTTTGTGATGAGGAATGTGTTAGCATTAATTCTGTTTGAACACCAAGCCTTTTTCTCAAGGGAAACTTCCCTCTCCTTCCAGCTTTCCTGCAGTACTCCCACCTGAAGCTAGAGAGGGACTTTGAGGCTGAGAAGTGACAGGATCAGTCCCTTTGTTGTAGCTGCATTCTGGTGAGTGGCACTCCCCCCACATCTCCAAGCAGGGCTTGTGCATGCCTTTTTGAGAAGATCTTACTGAGAGCATGAAAAGTGGGCAGAACCCATGCTCTCTCATCCTAGCACAACCTGGGGACAAAGAGGCTGTTTAAGAAGTGGGATTGTAACAGAAGAGTCCAGTGACATCTGGGCAGGTTTTAAAGACAATCTCATGGATCAACTGACAGATCTCCATCTATCTTTTCATCCATACTGCCTGCTTCTTTTGTCTCTCTTTTGAATAAGAAAAAAAATCACAATAGATTTTCTAAGAAGCTCTGCCCTTTCTTCCCATTCAGAAACTGTTGCAGGATATTTACTTTCCTAGAAGTACTACCTTCCCCAGCTACAACAAATGTAGGTGCTTTTAGAGCTTTAGCCATTAGTCAGCTGTATTACTGTAACATTATTTTTGCAAGCAATGCCTCAAATATCCACAACTCCAATAGTAGGAAAACGGAAGAAACACTATGGAAATGGGTAACCAGTGATGACTTTCTGTCTTTCCTCTCTCTTTCCTCAAATGGTCTCTGAAGTGATTTTCCAGAAAGTGCATGGTTGTAATTAAGAGAGAAAAATGAGCTGTTAATCAGAAACACACAGTTTGCTCTAACAGCTCAGATTTACCTGGGGCAGAGATTGCCATCCATATTAAACAGCATATGGGAAGGTTTTTCTTTTCATGGTTGCCATTGTGAGTAAAAATTAGTATTGTTCTTGCACAGATGGCTTAAGCCTGAACAGGGTCTAAATTCCTCAGTTATTCAGTGCATCCTCAATGATGTCAGTGCTGAAAGTCTTCAAACAGGATATGCTGAGCACTTCATGTGCCCTTTCACTGGACCTGTTAATATAAAATAGAAATGCTAGTGATTAATATACTGAAGAGACTGTTGTGTAAAGGATAATAGACCCTGAAGTTTAGAGGTTAATAGCAAGATCTGCATCAGATTCACTTAAAAATCACAGTGGTAATGTAGTTTATGAAGTTGTTATTAAGCGCTTTTCTTCTTTTCCTGGACACCTGAGTATCCCAGATTCAGAGAACCTTCTGTCAGCCTTCTTATCAGCAAGGGCACATTGCTGAATCATGTTCAACTTGATGTTCACCAGGGCTCCTAAGACCTTTTCTGCCAGGTTGCTTTCCAACTGGTGGCTCCCAGTATGTACTGGTACCTGGTGTTGTTTCTCCCCAGGGGCAGGACTTCGCATTTTCCTGTGCTGATCTTCTTGAGGTTCCTGACAGCCAACATCTCCAGCTTGTCTAAGTCCCTCTGGATGGCAGCAAAACCCTCTGGTGTATTAGCTGCTCCTCCACATGGTAGCCTGTTTCAGCAGCAGCCTGTGCTTTGTCTCACATTTTGTGTATCATGAATTAGAACCATTTCTGAGGACTTAGAAAAGCAAACGTTAAAGCCAAAGGCAAACAGAGGTATCAGTATCAAAGCCTCTCACAATGAGGTAAGGATAAACCCTGAGATCAGTGAAAAGTATCCTTTGGCATTCATGTTTCCTTTGGCATTTTCTACACTCATACCTTACTCATACTCCTAACCTCACCTTCAAAAGCTACAGCCAGCATTCAATCATATGGCAACATTTCCATCTGTAAGCATTCCTTTGGCAGAATTCAAGATGGTATAATATTAGGAAAAATGGAAGACTGACAAAGGAAGGGAGATAGTAAGTAAAATTAGTTCAGTTTTACATTAGCTGGGCTGAAAACTGTAGTGGTTCAGGAGTAGTTTCATGAACAAGTCTGCTACTATTAAGTTGGCAAATTCTGTGAGAGAGGCAGGACAGAAAACTAAAACTATTTTAGATGCTGAATTTTTATTTACTGCTTAACATTTATCAGAGATCTTGGAAATATATTACATTTTCCAGGAATCTCAGTCCTATCACCACTGAATTTGCCATAATGTTATTAGGATGTTTTCCTAAGAAAGACATTACAGATGTCTATAGAAGAAAAGGATCAAAATACAAGAGCTGAGAGGTTTGTGCTCAGAAGCCTCAGGACACCATTGCTAGTATGCTAGAAACACTGCATGCAAGGTAGAGTTGACTGTAGATTGGGAGCAGGATTGCCTGAGCAAAATTTTGCTTATGATTAAAGCCAAAGAAATTTTGTAGTTTCATTAGATTCACTTCATCTGATCCCCCCCCCATTGACTTTAACTCAAGTTACCTTTAAAGAATTATCTACATTATTCTGAATTTGGAAGACTGTAAGCTCTTTGAATAAATAAAAATTGGTATTTAAAAATAAATAAATTTAAAACAAACAAAACAAAACACCAGTTTTATTTCAGAAGGATGAATATCTATGGATAGTTTTCAGTTCTGTTAGGGACTGGCTTCAGCACAGAGATTATTTATGGCCTGTGTTAGTTTGTTGAGAGCCATATCTCTAACTTATGCTAATAGCATATCATCTCAGGTGCCTCAATGATTTCTGGGAAGTATCTTCCAAATAGCATCTGACAGAACAGATACTATTAAACATGAGTAAGAGTATTGGAATCTGGTTCTGTATCAAGGCGAGAATCTTGATTGAAAGCCCTTGAAAATGGATTAAGCTTTCACAGTCCTTTCCCGTGTTATCATTGCTTGTTTCTGCTAGTCACCCTGCTGCATGTTGCTGTTGTTCTCTGTGTTTCTCCTGATGCGCTGTTCTGCAGATTTAGCATTCTGTCTTTGCCTCCTTGCCTCAACTCCTTTTCCTTTCCAAAGTAATGCTGAGGTGCTGAAGAGACTCTTTATCTAGTCTCAAGACATTCAGCAAGCTGAATAACTCTGGAAAATCTCGATTAAAAAAAAAACAAAAACAAAACAATTTCATCTCTACCATTTACTATTATGTCATTTCCTATAATTTCATGTTTGAGTTGCCCAGTTCTCTACTGTGGCTACCACCAATAAATTTTGTTGAGGAAAAAGTGAATAAACACCTTTAGCCTGACATTCAGAGAAATACAATCAATTTTCACAAGAGACCCTCATTCTCTAGCACTGAAAGATTGTGTTGAAAGAAGTTTAGAATCTCTCTCAATTGTACTTGTGGTAAAGTAAAGCGATTGGTGCGATGGATGGGTTATTCACTGGGGATGCAGACTGAAAAGCAAGTGCCTGTTTGGGACTCTGCATTTCAAAGGGGCTTCACATAGAGCTTAGAATCCATCTGCTAACTCCATGAATCCATGAAGTTTGTCCAATACAGACATCAGTCTGATGTTTCTTTGTCTCCACTGGGACCTCCACATCTTATATGTTTTCCTCCAATCCTAAGCACCCAGAATGTATTAAATGAAAGGTTGCATAAGTCTACCAGCAATTCACCTATTTCATCCTTGAATTGATTCAAAACTCTTGAATGATTACCATCTGGTCTCGACAATGTGTTGCTGTTCTTCATATTATTTGTTCCCCAAACCCTGCTGTAGTCACTTGAATATTTCTTATGACCTGAACTAACCCAAAGGTCTCTCTGTACTCCTGAGTAGAACAGACAGTGAAACACTTGAGTTACTGATGTTTTTCTGAAATCAATCTTGCTGTTGATGGTTGATTTGAGCTGGGCTATGGTTTTGTTATATTGCCTCAGTTAGCTAGTAATTGAATAAATAAAGTTACTATATCGAGGAAAGTAACGGAGTAGCACAGAGATGGTCATTTGTTGTCATGAGTTTTCAGGGTTGGCTGTGCTTTGAACACTGACTGTGTTGTTGGGGGAACAAAGTGCTCTATGTCAGGGATACCAGCATCCAGGATGTCAACCCAGTTACCCCACCAGCATTTGATGTCTTGCCACAAAACCAGTTCTTTGGAAGCAGAGCTGTTTTGCTGAGAACCAAGCAGGGGTAACAGCATTGCAGGAGCACGGTTATGAAGCAGAAGCTACCTGTTGTGTGGTGGCAGGGCCAGAGGAGCACAGCTTGGGCAAAACCTTTCTTTGTTACAGCCTAACTACAGCCTCCAGGGAGCTCAAAGCTAAAAGCAGAAAGCACAGAAATAGGGCTGTCTAGAGTCACAGGACATTCTGTACAGGTTTTCATAAAACAAAAAATAAAGCTTTTCTTAGACTTAGAAATGCCTAGATACCAGGTATTTTTTAAGGCCTGGATGGCCTCACCAACAACCATTCCTTCAGACTTCTGTATCTCCCTGTCTCTACAGTGAAAATATTATAGGTGTTTTCCTGTCAGCTTTGGCTTCTGGCTCTGTAAGTTACATGGGTAGAAAGCACTAAAAGCATCAAAACAAATCCCGGGAATATACATGCAGACATTTCTCAGGCATTTGCATGAGACTAATTCTATAATTTATGAAATTGAGCCTAGACAGAGCTTCTTGTCTCTCCAAACAAGAGGAGTATCCACTAAGACTTTTTTGGTCTTGTGATAATAGTAGCTACAGGTAGAGGATTTGCTTGAGTTTTAGTCCCTAAGCTAAAAATAAATAAATAAATAATAATAATACCAAGGATAGGTCTTTATAACAGGTGTTTTTTTCCTTAAGAGGACACTACACTTAACTGACCTCATTTTACTGGCCTCTGAATCCTGTCAGCACACAGATAGTTTCACATTATAACAAGAGATGCCTAAATCTGGGCTGTGCTCTGGAATGTATTATGTGTTTAGGCTATGAGAACTTCATATAATTAAAAACCAAGATCTGTTCTGGACACAAACACTTACAAAACAAAGAGATAAATAGCTAGTATTGAATAGTGGAAGGAGATGTGAAAAACAGCAAGAAATTGCGGAAAGATTTTTGCTGGACCTTGATTTTGTTTGCAGAGAGAGAGAGACTGAGAGATTTTGGAGAAATGAGAGCAGCATGATGAGAAATTACGTTCTGTGTCTAAGGTTCAGACCCATCTTGCTACCTACAGCCACCTGAAGTTAGGTAAGCAGTCTAAAATGCTCTGGTACAATGGTCTGTGGCAAAAATGTCCTCTTTTGGAGGTGCTTATCTTTCAGATGGACTGTGGATGAAGGTTACACCACTAGTTTGGGTGGCTAAGAGAGGAATTCCTGGTCTGATCTCAAGCAAGTCCTTTAGGGTTCAGTTACCAAAGAAGCTGCCATCCAATTCCATGCGTGGCAGTATGTATATTGCATGCTACTGATACAAAGGTGCTTTTCTCCTCTTGCAGTTTATGAAAGTCCTTAAGTTATCCTCCATGAAGATTTTTCAAGGCTCTGTGGTTGATTTTAGATCCTTCCCTGATTCCAGCTTTGATATCTTGGAATAGTTGTGGGGACACTTGCTAAGAAGTCAGCAATTGTGCATGCAGATTCCAGAATTTCTGGAATCTGGATGAGCTGGAAGCTATTGTGACCCTGAAAATGATCTATTTTGCTTTAATTTCAGAGTCCCAGTTTTCACCATTATGTAAAACATAAACGTTATGGAAAACATCTGAGCAGCAGGTGTGTTGCAAAGGTTAATGAATCTTTGGATTTTAGTAAAATGCTATATCACACCTTAGATCTTTGGAAAATGCTGTGCAAAATATTTGTAGAAATGCTTTAGAAAAGTGTTCTGTCACTTTCTATATTGTTTTAATTTTTAAAGATCTGATTGCCACATTCATTAAACCAACTAATTAATTTTGTAGTATAAATTACGATCCTCTAATAGATCTCCTTTGATTTGGATCTCAAATATTTTTTTTATTTTGTTCTTTTCTTTGTCTTGATTTGTTGCCAATGTGTAATAGAACAACAGTCTGGCTCACACCCTGTCTTTTCTCAAGAGACTCTGTGCTGGGAGTTGGCATAATGGTCTACAGTAAGTACTTCCCAACTCTTCCTATTCCCAGCTGCTCCTTACAGATGGACAGAAAGTTTCACAAGACTAAACACGCTCTAAGTTCAGGCCTCTTTTCTTAAACAGCAAAACCTCCCTGATGCCCAGTGTCTAGCTGGGAAATATATAGTGGAACTGCAGTGAAAAGAAGTGAAAATACTGGTCTCTTGCCCTTAACTGTTCTTATCCTTTCCACACCTCCAGCAGCTAAAAGTTTTTAGGTCTCTTCCATAGCCTATTAGCTAAAATATCTCCTGATCTTTTGCAGAAGGAAAAGGCTGCATGGGGCTAAAGCAAGAGCTGAATGAAGAAATGGTGCAGGGAAATTGCAGACTAGAAATTATTATTATTATTATTATTTTTCTTTTTGATTCAATAAAAAGGGAAAATATTTTTGCTTACACGTATATTTTTGCCCCATTTACTCTTACTTCCTTTTACTACCTACAACAAAAGCTTTTAGACAATAAGCTTCATTAACATAGCGATCTCCCAGAAGTTCAGTATAGAGGAATTGTGGTGGAATTCATACACAAATAATACTTTTTTTTTAGCTCAGAATTCAATGGTTTTCAGACTTTGTGTTTCCTATTCCACCTTCTCAAATAGTTAATGTTGAGGCAACTTGTTAAATAGCCAAATCATACATCGTTTTGAAGACAATCTGTTAATGTTTCATCCAAATCTGCTTTAAGTGTCCTTGCCGTATTGCAAATGCTGGTCATTAAATGGTGTCTTGCCTAGTTTTTGTATTGGATCATGTTTTGGATTGCTAACTCTAACTCTTAAGGGGTGCCTTATTTCAGCCTAGTGTCCACTCTTTGCTACAGAATATCAATCTGAATTTCTGAAGTGAGTCAGATTGAAAAGGGCTTTGTATAAAAGTGCTACTTAGTAGCTGAAAAGGTTTACTCGGGATATCAGAAAATAGTTTTAACTATACAGACTAAAGACATATATGCATACAGCCACATATAATTGTATAGCTAATATCAAACATATTTGTCTTCTAGATTTACCCATCTCTTCTAAGTCACTCCATACAGACATATAGTTGTTTGTACATTTTAGCAAAAGAATCCTTCACTTCTGCTTGAAAAACAGGAAGGTAACTTTGAGGTTTCAGTGTTGTAGCCTATAAGACTCCCTGATGTTTACCCCAACGGTCTTAGTCATGACCAGCAGAGATTAAAAGTATATCTACTCATCTCTCATTAAGCAGGCCATGGTTTAAACATGTCTATATTAGAAAAAATAGTTAGGCAGTTTTGAAAGATTCCCCCCGCCCCCCCCCCCCCGGTATTTTAGAGTTTTATCTCTATTTTTATTCTCTCTAATGCAACCAAGTCCTTCTCAAAAGTGTTAAAATTTAGTGATTTTTTTCCAAGGATAAAACTTGAGATTGATAGGGGAGTAGCAATAAGCAAGGATAGACAGGCAGTCTTTTGTAAGGAGAGGGGTTTGGCTGTCAGGGCAGTTCTCCTGCAGTTTCTGGATATTTTCAGTTTCCAGGAGGACAGTGGAAGCCCACACCTGAGTGTAAGTCTGATGGCAATGGGGCTTCTCATCATCCTGGCCATTGTCCTGGCAGTATGTGCCACATGAGATGTTGTTAATGAGGACATAATTGCTGCCTTATTTCCTCTCCCATATAAATTCTAAAGGAAAGTGTTTCTTGTCCCTGAATCAAGTCTAAAAAACAGTATTTGGCTGTGTCCTTAGTGTGTATAAAGTGGTTCACAAAAATGGACTGAATAGTACAGACTAGTCTATAGGAAATGAAAAGCAGAGAAGCATAAGGTTCTCTCTGGTAATGAAGGAAATTAAAATGGCTTTCTGGAAAGTAATGCTCTTTCTACTTGATAAATAAAATACTTTGTTTTCTTCATTTGCTGCCTTCCATTATGTAGTTATGAATTATAAAAAGACCTTTGTGGCTCTCTGCACATTCCTAAGAACATAACAGTCATTTTCCTCCTTCTGTCTCTTAGGAGGAAGACTCTAAGTACACCATCATCAGATACTTTCATATAAGGATTACTGATTAATGCTCCTTACTGTAACGGATAGAAACGGCTTATGTCTGCTAATGGACTTCCAAATATTCCCAAAGAGTGGTTGTTGAGACACACTCAAGTTTTGCATTCAGAAGGTAATGGTGTGATAGTAAAAGAAAACTAAATTGGACTGATGGAAATACTTTGTCACAGTGTCTTAAATCCAAATCACCTACTGGGTTTCTATTCTGCTTCTGATGTTTGCTAGATAATGAAGGATTGACTTTTAACATTTATTATAACTGTGTTACAGTTATGGCTGAGAAAACACTCTCGTGGTAACACCTTCCATTCAGCTGCATAAAACTTTGTGACAAAATTGCCATTTGGGCTCAAATTACTTATGCTTGTTCTCCTCCCAGAAATACTTTTTTTTCTTTTTTTTTTTTTTTTTTTTTTTGGAAGTAATACAATACTCTTTGGTGATGGTGAGATAAGCACACTTAAAGAAAAAAAAAAAAAAGTGGTGCGGAGGGAATTTTTTTTTTTCAAAGTGTGATTCTTTGATCATTAAGAAATGACTAAGAGTTGCAACTTCAAATTTGCTGGCTTTCATACCTAAGGCAGGTGTTTGGAAAAGTGTAATTGAATAGGAATATCAGAACAAGGTTTTCAATTCTGTTTACCTTTTCAAGGGAATCTTGAGTCATTCTGCAATAACATATTCAGGGTATTTGAGCATATTTGTGTTGTGCAGGAAATAGCACATTCCATTTGTTTGCAGAGGAGTGTGTAGCTAACAACCTATTTTGTTCATGTAAATACATGTTTACTCTTATGTAAAGGTACACACTATAACATAGTTAGAGTGCCGTAGGAAAAAATGGCCCTTGGTATTTATTCTCTTGCTTCTCTTTTCCTTCCAATAGCTTATAATGAGAAGGAATCCAAATTCAGCACTGAACAACAAGAATTTAAAGTTCATTGTGATGGATGTTGCTTTCTAATATGAATCACGTTGCCTGTATAAATCTTAGAAAAAAAAAAAAGCATTATGTCAATGAATTTTCATGTGCGCAATTAAAGGTGTAAGTAAATCAGTGGGACTGAGCAAGCAAATCTTTTATGAAATGAGGATTTTTTTCATTATTCTTTTCACACTGTAGCAGGAATTGAATGTTTGAAGGTAGCATATGAGGAGAGGTAAGTTATGTTCAGCTATTCATCTTGCTGAAGGCATGATGAAATTTGTTGACTGTTCCATCTCTTGGTTTTGCAAAGTCACAGATGTCACTATCCGGGTTATGCCCAGGAATAACAGTGAATTGAAGTGATTCCTACTACCGCAAAAAGCTACTGATCTAGTGAGGGGAACAGGTGAGAGAAGAGTACTCAGGATGTTGTCGGGTTGAATTTCTTACTAAGACACTGTATTTCAAATCATACAGTGTATTATTGTGTGTAAGGAAAGGTTCTGAGAAATTGTTAAAAAAGAAAAATCTACTAGTGAAGACTTTTCAAGTCTGTTCATATCTATCCATTCTACTGAAGTCTGCAATAGTGCTCCATAATGGCAATGCCTGAGGAACGTGATATTTGCTGTGGTAATTTCATGCCAAGTCTCAGTGGCCAAATAGTCATGCGGCTTTTCCTCTGTTAGATGCACACAAGGAAATCTGTCCCACAGGCTGGGTGGTTGTGGTGGTTTTACCTTGCTGGGTAGCTGAACACCATGACTACTCTCTCATTCCCCCTCCTCAGAAGAACAGAAGAAGAGAGTGAGAAAAAAGCATGCTGAAAAGAGGGGAAAAAAAAAAAAAAGGCTCACAGGTTGAGGTAAGGATAGTTTAATTAAAGGGAAAAGGAAGGGGGTGGGGGGGGGAAAGCAAGCAAAGGCCATGCAGAAGCACAGGAAGAGGAAAAAAAATCTTTACTTCCCATCAGTGAGCAATATTTAGCCATGTCCCAGGAAGCAGGGCAGTTCAGCCATGTCCCAGGATATGCATTGCAGTTGTTTGGGAGGACAGATAACAAGAGCCCCCTCTCTCCTTCCCCTTTCCCAGCTTTAATTGCTGAGTATGACACCCTAAGGTATGGAATACCCCTTTGGTTGGTTTAGGGAGTCCTGATGCTGTGCCAGCACTGCTCAGCAATAGCCAAAACAGTGATGTGATACCAATGCTATTCTAGCTGCAAGTGCAGAGCACAGCATTGTATGGGCTGCTGCAGGGAGAGTTAACTCCATCCCAGCCAGACCCAGCACAGCTGTACCTGTACTAAACGGAAATTGTGTCACCTTTAACTCTATTCTATGACTTTGAGCTTAGGCTCAACCTATAAATCACAAAGAGATCTTATCACCTTATTTTTGTTCATCACTTTTAAATCTGCTGTAATATTTGGGAGTTTTAGGGTAACCACTAGGGCTCTCTTTGACTGTAAAAATGAAAGAGAGGAAAGTGAGTTGCAGTAGCTTGGTTCAGTTAGCTTAGAACGTGCAAAAAATTGTCTTTAGGTCAAGGCTGACATGTTTTCTGCTATGATGATGATACAGTTTAGGAAGAAATTACTCTGAGAGTCAAAACAATTAGATTAGTAGGTCAATAGTGACTGGGAAGACTATTTTAAAGAAGTCCCTATATTTTTGGGGGGGTAACAAACAGCAGAGGATTCTCTCAGGACAAACAAGTTCTCACTAGTGAGAGCTGTCACCCAGAGGAGAGGTAGTAAAGCCATAGGAAAAAAAAAAAAAAAAAAGGATGTAGCTAGAAGAAAGATAAGGGAGTCAGATTTTACAGCAGAAGTAAGGCACACACAACAAAAACTTCCTAAGAGGTAGCAAAGCACAAAGGAATGATTCTGTGAACTTCCCTTTGGACATCTCCCTCAGTGGAGACTGAGGCCAATGCCTCACCTGTTTGGCCTTAATTTCATTACATGTCAGATGTTTTTGGCAGGGCCTGCACTTCAGCTGGACGGAGCCCTGAGAGGCACAATGGCAAATAAGAGGACGGTCACGTGAGTTTATCAAGGTACTCCAACGCAGCACCGATCCTTAGTACTCTAAGAGATCTGTTGTTATATCTCCCAAATGCTTTGAGGTTTACAATTTTACAACAGAACCGTAAATCAGAGCCAAACTTGGGCACCCAGTACCCAAGTATTGTAGGACTGGATTTCCTCCTTTCAGTTGCCCCAGTACTTTGAGGACATGGCTGTAATGCATCAAAGCTTGATTTGTCTCAGAATTGGCAGGGTACTAGGCTCTTCCAGTCATCAGAAATAACCTCTGGTATCTCAAAAAAAAAAAAAAAAAAAGAGAGCATTAGGATGGGGGAGAAAGTCCTCCTATGTTTCCTTTCAGATTTAAATTCTTCAGGAAAATAAGCCTTTGTCATTTTAATGACCAATGTTTGAAATATAGAGAAGCATACAAAAAGTGCCCCTGACCCCAGCACAAAGAAGTCCCTAGTTATCAGCAATGTAGCCAGCTTAAGAAGGCAGTGAAATTTAACAAAAGCTGCAAAAATCTACTTTTAAAGTTATCACTCTGTCCAGAGTTTGCACTTTTGTGTCTCACTTTAATGAAAGCTCTGCTTCGACGGTGGGTGATCTTAAAGAAGACCTAAAAATAATTATTTTAATACTAGCTACTTACTATTTTCCGAACTCTTTACAAAACTAGTGTCTCTCTCTTCTTTGCCTCCAACTACATAAAGTGTACTGTCAGCTTTTCCTTTTTGAGCTCTGCAATACCTAGACTAACTGAGAATCATTGGTTTCCACTGAACCTTAAACTTTTGAAAAGAGCTACCCTTTTTCAGCCAATGCATCAGAGAAGTCAGTGGGATCAGCCAACTCTGAAAATGCAGTAATGGGCTACTAAGTTAGCTATGACAGACTGTGCAAGGAGAGGTTTATCCTGCCTTCTCCCCCCCTGCCCAGCTTTACACATTTCTACATGTTATGGGATAAAGTAAAAGCCTCTAATGTGTATTCAGTATCCCCTCAAATGGTTTTTGAACTCAGTGTCATAAATAACAACACCAACAAGGTGTGTCTAGATGATTTTTCTTTCCTGAACTTTCCGGGCCTTTGAGGCTCTTGGAGAGCAAGGCTTATGCTAATAAGAGTGGAAAAGGGTGCTACTCCCAACCTGAAGTCTGCCAAGAAGGACTGAATGGCTCAGATATCTCTGGGAATACTTGTCTGGGACAGGGACAAGACAGACAGGGAGGCACCGAGCAATGATACAAGCGTGACCTCCTGCCAGGTTTTCCAGACAGAATAACAAAAGATCACTTCCAAGCAGGAGGTATTTTATGTTTTCAGACTTTGCCATCTAAAGCTTTTACATTAGAATATTCAGCCGATGCAGGGACTGTGTGTCCTACAGAAGAAACGGACTTATAAGCCTATACACTTGTTTGTCTCTCTCCAGAGTAATGTTTGAGCCAGGTGAGTGATATCACCCAAACTTGTCAGATAGACAGGGGTCTGGAAGACAGTAAGGGTGGAAAACTGTGAATCTTATTGCTAACACCCTAATGCTGAGTGCAATGGGAACCCCACAGGGCAGAGGTCCATGGGCTTGCACCTCTCCCAGCTCCTGGAAGAATTTCATCTAAAACTTTCATCTTCCTATAAAGCAAAATCAACAAGCCTCAGGATATCAACCTGTAAAAAAAAAAAAAAACAAAAAAAAAACAAGTTCCTTCAGTCCCAAGTTTCAGTGATCTACATCGTTCTGCACACCTTCAAGCATGGACTAACTGAAGGAAGGTAAAGATTTTCTTTTTTCTTTTTTACCTTCCTCGCAGTAGCACCCTTCATCCTGTAATGGGGGTGGGAGAGAGGCAGTGCACACTGCCCTGTGACCGTCTTGATGACTATTTATATTTTATGCTCTGCAGCTCAGGTTTTTGGGGTGAAAGATGAATGTGAATATATCTCTCTCCAGGGCCAGATCCTCACTGTAGATACTTCCTTCAGACCCCTCAGTTTGTGTAGGAATGATGTCCATTAGCAGTTCCTCACAAGTTCAATCACAAGATAGCACTGGTGAGTTAGAATCTCAAATGGGATCAGGAATACAAGGGGTTACTTTTTTCCTCCTTGTCTGCCCCAGGTGAAATTCTGCTTGACATAATCCAGGCTACAGTGAAAGCTGTGCTCTGAAATGTGCAATAGGTTATTTTTGTCTTGGCGGTGCACTCTGGACTTGGTAACAGTTTTTGAAGACATAGGACATGAGCAGAAAAATATGCTAAATTAGAGTGGTTGACCAAGATACTAACAAAGCTTGCAGAGATATGTGCCAGTGAACTCACATAGCAAATACATGCAGATGCCTTTTTTCATACCGAAATTACCTATTCTTTTATTTCCATGAAAGAGGAGTAGAAGCTTTCATCCTTTTCAAACCCCTAACATTTAGATTTATGAGCATGCCACCCATATTTTTGGGTGGAGAGGACTGCCATCAGTAGTCTTGCCATTGCTAAAATTAACTGACATCTTAGGCTACATAAGCTGCTTATTCCCAAAAGTCAAGTCACTAGGGGCACTTACAGCAAAGAGAATGTTAATGGGATATTTCTGAGAATAGGCACTAAGTATGGAAAACATTGGAGCAAAGACATATATGTTTGAATGTCATATAAGTACCTTGGGCACTAACCAGAGCATTTTGTAACAAGGAAGGCTGGTAAGATAAATATTGTAGAAGGAGTTGTGAAACTCAATCGTTTCCTCATCCCAAAAACTTAGTACTAGCTTCCACTCCTAGCACAAGGAACATTTATTCCTTAGCTTAATTGACAAAGATGTTTTTGACCCATCTGTTCCATAAACTCAACCATACACTAATGCAACCTTATGGCTGTAGCCATCTCATTCAGATTGCAGGAAGAAAATGGCTTCCTTCTGCCCTAGTACCTCAAAGAATAATATAATAAAGGAAATACTGCAGGAAGAGAACTGGTTTGTGTTTCATAAGTGAAGCCCAGGACTAATCAGCCACTAAGTTAATTTACTGAGACCAGAGTCAGAGCAGAAAGAAGGGAAATGCAAGCTGTGTTTAAAATTAAACTGGTATTTTATATGTTTTT